TTGTGCCTGAGTGGAGATGTGTAGAAAGATATCTATGATGAGTCCAAGTATGGATTTTTGCGTAAACATCAGTAGAGAAAATTCCATACAAAATTAATGGTCTCGTTATCTCTCATAGATGAGGTTTTTATTTTGTGGTACTTCTTAGATGATGGGGTTTCTTGAAAACAAAAACAAGGTATAGATGAAGGGCTTCCCCCCCTAATTTATGCCCAAAAGTTATTCAAATGTTAGACTACTAACTATATCTCGGTTTTTGTCTGTAACAGGACGGAAAGATCAGCTACGAGGAGTTTGCAGCAATGATGAAGGCCGGAACAGATTGGAGAAAGGCTTCAAGGCAATACTCTCGGGAGCGATTCAATAGCCTCAGCTTGAAGCTGATGAAGGATGGATCATTGCAGGTGAAGAATGAGCAGAGCAGATAAAGAAAAAAAAACAGGTGTTATGGAAATGTGTGTATGTTTGTGATATTCGAAACAGGCAAATTCCTTTTATCATGATGGAGATGTTACAAGATTCATTCCCTGGTCCTTTTGTTGTTCCATTCTTGAATGATCTGATGATATGATTCTTTTTTAGCTTGTTATTTGGTTTGGGTATCAGCTGGGGCATGAAACGGGGGGCTTTTTTGTTTTATGTATAATTACTTCCACTTGGATGTATGGGGGTTAAAATGGATAAAGAGATGTTGTTGTCAAATGTTCATGGCTGTAAATATGTAACAATGTCGCTCAGCGAAAAATTACCCATTGGGCATTGCTTGTTCAAAAGTTTTTGTACTCTGTAAAATTCATTTTGCAATGAAGTTTCTTTGTTGGCTACATATAGTGTGTGTGTGTGTGTGAATTGCATTGGTCTGTTGTCAAAAGATGTGGGAGGTTGATGGAAGCTTCAGGTGGTGGTGGTGGTCATTGATTTTGGTCTGTTGGGAACTTTTGAGAGGCAAGCTGTCTATTTTTGACTTTTTTTTTTGTTGGTTTTTGTGTGGCCAAGGGAGTTGGTTGGTTAACAATATATATCTCCTCCTCTAATTTGGACTTTATTGATATTGTATTTTGTGTGTTGTGTGGCTAAGGGAGTTGGTTGGTTAACAATATATATCTCCGCCTCTAATTTGGACTTTATTGATATTGTATTTTGTGCGTTATTATGAGTTGGTGCCTTCGTCTTCTCTTCTTCCTTTTTATGAAAGAGTCTTTGCTTAGTTTTTTAGTAGATAGCTATCACAAATTGGAATCTTAACTCCTGCTCTCCCCAAAGACTTACATTTGATACTTCTAGATAAAATATCAAGCCTTGGCGTCTTTATAATGAGCGTTGCTACAGGAAATCAAAATATGGGACCATTGGAGGGGACATGTGACATGTCCCTCTCGGGCCCCTCCTATTGCATAATGAGCTGGCATAATCAGCTCATTATGCAATAGAGAGATGACACCTCATATGTCCTCTCACTTGGTCCCATATTTTGGGTCCTTAAAGCATTTTTCCTTTATAATTTTGTGGGTAATGGAAGATTTGGGTTTATCTTCAAGCTCCTTTTGAGCGTGGCCTACTAGTAAACTGAGTGACAAAAAATAGTAGCATCTACAAAAGATTAAAAGAGATAGTTGTCTTTTGGTAAAGGGTTATTTACATATGTACCCCTTAATTCATGAGTATTTGCAAATTGACCCCCACATCTTAGTATTTGCAAAGCGACCCCTCAAATTATCAACTTTGAAAAAAAAACCCTAGACACAAAAAAATCGTCAACTCGGTGAGTAAAAAGTTAGTATTTTGTTGATATTTTTAATATTTCGGTTACAAATCAGCCAATTAAAGTTGATGATATATTGATCTGGGGATAACATTTTCCAAAATCAATGATTTGAGGGGAAGTTTCTACTAAGATTTGGAGAGTAGCTTCGCAAATGCTCACAGTTTGAGAGGTATATGTGCAAATAACCCCTTAGTAAAAAGATGACAAACTTAAGAAGAATGACTTAATTTACTTGGATACCAATAGAAGCTAACTGATGTGTTATGTCCATATCAAAACTAAAGCTAAAGAAACATAATCCATCGAAATCAAACAATGTCCAAATAAGAACTACTCCCATTGTCAAGGATAATGTTCTTTCAGCGGTACATAATACTATATATGAAAAATTAAAATTGAATTGGAGCACCAGAAAATATGCTGAATTCTCAAAAGAATGAGAGTACCGTAAACTTGTTGGAGCAGTAGTAAAAAGGCTATATTTCTTTTTCCTTTTCCTTTTTTTTGGATGAATATGTAAAAGTTGTAGTTAATTTACTACTAACTGGGTTTTATATTATAAATGGACTTTTTTTTTGTTCTCCTTCTCCTGAGTAGTAGGTATCTAATTAGGAGTTTGGTTTCTACGATTTTCTTTTTTTTTTGGTTCATGAGCCCAATTTTTTATATATATTGTTTTAACTTTAAAAGGATTTATTTGTTCCATGGACTTTCTTTATATATTTTCTACTGACATTTTAATAGAAGAAGTAATAGAAAAAGATTAATTTAATGTCAGGAATAATCTGTAACACTAAATTTTAAATTCAAATCTGTCAGATCATTTACCTTTTCTTTCCTTTTTTTATGCAAAAATAGGGCAAGACGTCCTATTCAAAAGATGTATATATTAGAAGAAGGTTAAAAACATTGCCATGAGTTTGGAGGAGAGCTCACTCCAGCCAAGATCAAAGAGAGGTCCTTCGACGTTATTTAAAACTTGAATCAAGAGTGAGCCAATCCTCCCAATTAGTCAACCTGTTTACAAGTATATTTACGAAAAAACTAAGAGCATCCAAGTTTAGAAGTATCAGCAAACGAGTTTTATTTACAAACAAGAACTCATATGACGAAATACTTCTCAGAAAGTTATCCCCCACCATATCAGATATTGCTTCGTGAAGATCTTGCAGTCCAAGCTGACTTGCTGCGCCGCATGAACCCGGCCTGCCTTCTTCCTTACTGTGTTAGCTGACCAGAACATAGTGAAGAAAGTGGCATTAGCTATGTACTGCTGAGTAGAGATATTAATCTGTCCAAAAATTAGTTCATTATGAGCTCTCGAAAGGCACTAGTAGAAGATTGGGAAGAGGGTAAGCCACAACTGTCGATTTCGTGTGTTGGAGACGATGGAGCCATGAGAGTGAAGAATACTATCAAAGTCTAGATTGCTGATATTCAATCACAGCTTCTGCAAGATAGGTTTCCAGGCTTCATTAGTAATGCTACACTCCCAGAATACGTGAGAGTCTTTTTCCATTGCAGATTGATAGAGCGAGCTTAGTTTGGAGCTTATGCTTGTATAGCAAGAATAGGAAGATCTTAACCTTGGTAAGGAGGAAACTTTTCCAAATGGAATTATATGCAGCACATTTAATTCCACCACTAGAGAGCGTGTGATAAAGAAAATTAGCAGTGAAGTGGCCAGAAGTGTTGTGAGGCCAAGAGATTTCATCCATAAGACCCTAATTAGGTCAATTAAGGTTGGATAGGAGGGATTTCATATCAGAAACTTATTGTATCTCTTTAGGGGATGTTCGTTTTGCAAAATAAGTTGGGAAATCAAAGAATAGGAAACCTATTTCCTATATTAATTGTTTTGATGTTGTTTGGTTGGTTTAAAAAAGAAGAAAATTATAGAATAGGAGATGAGATGAGATGAGTTGTCACCTTATTATTGGATGATGTGAGTGATTTAAAAAAAAAATGTTTTGAGGTTGTTTGGTTGGTTAAAAAAATAAGGAAATGAATTGGAGATATATTATTGGATGATGTTTTGAGGTTGTTTGTGTTTGGTTCATTTTTTAAAATAAGAAAATAGATGAGATGTGATGAGTTGGAGGTATATTATTAGGTGATGTGACGCATACTTAAGGAAATCAATTTCTTTTTTTTTTTTGAGGAAATGGATGGAAAGGAAGGTTTAATGAGATGAGATGAGTTGTCACAATATTATTGGATGATGTGTGTGATTTTTAAAAATGAGATAAGATGAGATGTGATGAGTTGGATGATGTGACACATTTCTTGTGTTTGGTTTATTTTTAAATGTAAGAAAGGAGATGAAATGAGATGAGTTGGAGGATAAAAATAATATTTTATTAGATGTTGTGGGTGAGTTTTAGGGATGTAAATGAATAAAAATATTATTTTATTGATTTCCTTATACCGATTTCCTTTTCTTTGATTTTAGGAAACCAACCAAACGGGCCCTTAGTGGATATAGGCCTATGAAGGTGAGGCCTCCAATACTAGTGGTTATCAAGCATAGAGCCTTGAGATCTAATACTGAAATTTTAGAGAGAGCTAGGTTGAAAGCCATGAGAACAAGGATGATAGTGAGCTAGGACCTGTCCATTTATCCTCCCAAAAACAAGTGGATAGCCCATTAGTTTCCATTGAACTAGAGATAGAAAAGCTTGGCTAGAAATGATTGTGTCATGACACAACCTAGATGCATTAGCCTTTGGTGGTGTACAACTAGTGAGAGGACAAAGGTGATTATGAGAAGAAGAGAGTACATTTGACCTACTAGAGAGTCTTGTCTAAGGAATTTCCAAATCCATTTCGATAATAGAGCCTCATTGAAGATAGATACGTTGATGATACCTAAACCTCTCTCCAATTTAGTCTTACACACTATCTTCCAGTTCACTAGGGATTTGCCTTTAGCATAGGAGGCACTCC